CGGATCAGTGGTCGGAGCTGGCCCATCGAGTGGTAGCGGCAGCCGCGGGTTCATCTGCTGTGCTTGAGTTTATTGAGGGTATGGAAATTAGGATGCTAGTCAACAGAGGTGCGTCGGCAACTATCATCTTGGAGTTAATTTACAATATTTTGCCCCCCAAGTGTCAGGTTCTAAACCCTGTTGATGCACCGTGTTTTGTCGCTAACGGCGGCTCATTAAATTGTTGGGGCACATTCTTGTCTCCACGTCCCTGGCTGTTCCATGTTTACTTGGAACCGATTTCCTAGGTAGGATGCCATTTAAAATCCGCATTAACCGTGGCTGTTTGGAATTGCCATCCGGCCGTCGTATGGTATTTTTGCCTTCCCCCACACGATTGTGTACGGCCAACGCTATGGTGCAGGCGCCTCCGGGCTGACGGAGAGAATCTCTCACGACGCCCAGATGTTAGTTCCCCTCCGCTTGAGGAAGCCACTGAATTTGGGAGCTACGGAGAATGGAATTATTTGGGTCCTTCCAACAAGGTCACTCGCGGACTGACTTTGGTGATAATGCTCAAAGACCTTTTATTCAGGTTCTTAATGTTCGCTTGGTCACCACAGTCATCCAGGAGGGTATGGTGTTGGCTCATGCGTCACCGGCACGCCCGGAAGGGGGCATCGTCGTGAATGTGGGTGCCAAGCCTTACACAAGACAATCCCGTGATGTGGATGAAAGCTGGATCGAAAAACTACGCACTAAAAGTGGTACCTTGTCCGCGGACCAGATAGGGAAGCTGCGGATGCTTTTTCGTGAGTTTTCGGATATATTTAGCAAGGGTAAATTTGATATTGGATGCACGTCGCTCCTGAGTCACCACATTGATACGGGTGACGCGATCCCTATACGCCAGAATCCCTACCGGCTGAGCACGACAGAGAAGTAACATGTTCAGCTGGCAGTTGATGAGATGTTGGTCGCAGACATCATCTCACCATCAACCAGTCCCTGGGGAGCTCCGATTGTGCTTGTAAATAAGCACAACGGTAGCTTACGATTTTGCGTCGATTTTTTAAAACTTAATAAGGTCTCTGTTGTGAATGCATATCCCTTGCCTCGCATGGATGATTCGCTGGATGCGTTGGCAGGGGCATGTTTCTTCTCCACCCTGGATCTCCTATCCAGGTTCTGGCAGTTGCTGCTTGACGATGTCTCAAGACCTAAGATGGCCTTTCGTACGCCCCAGGGATTGTTCGAATTTAACCGGCTTCCTATGGGGCTCCATTCAACGCTGGCCATGTTCCAATGGTTGATGGAACTGGTCTTGGCGGGTCTCCAATGGGACTCGTGTTTGATATATCTCGACAATGTAATCGTCTTCAGCTGCACTTTTGACGACCATTTGCTCCCTCTGCATGGCTGTCTTTCTCAAAATATGTGCGGGTAACCTTGAATTTAAACCTCAAAAATGTCACCTTCTCCAGAAATCAGTTCGGTATCTTGGCCACATTGCTAACAAATCGGTATTGCGACCGACCCGGAGAAGACTGCATGCGTTCGAACGTGGCCGACCCCCACCTCAGTGACTGAGGTGCGCAGTTTCATCTGCTTTGCGTCCTATCGCCGTTTTGTTGCCGGGTTTGCGTAAATTGCAAAACCTCTCCACGCGTTAACGGCTAAGGGTCATAAATTTCCTTGGGGGGGGGGGGGGGGGGGGGAAGGCGGAATTTCGTGCCATCCGCGATGGATTGGTGAACGCCCCTCCCCTGCGTTATCCGGATTTTTCATTGCCATTCGTCCTCGATACAGACGCTAGCAATACCGGTATTGGTGCTGCCTTGTCGCAGGTTGTTGACGGGGTGGAGAGAGTTCTTGCGTATGGTAGTAAAGTGCTGTCTCCGGCCGAACAGCATTATTGCGTTACGCGCCGTGAATTACTAGCCATTTTGGTTTTCCTGCAGGAATATCGCCCTTACTTGTACGGCAGATGATTTGTGGTGCGCTCCGATCATGCAACACTCAAATATGAACTGCGTGTGGATCAGCCGTTAGGCCAATTATCACATTGGCTAGAGTACCTGCAGGACTTCCCGTTCAATGTTACATACCGCAAGGGTTCTTGCCATACGAACGCCGATGCCCTGTCGTGATTACTAATGACCAGAGGTTGTGCATGTTTTTCGGGTTCGGCGATGTAAACCGACCGATATGACCTTGCCACCACCTCTCGCGGCATCTGCTGATGCGGTGACAGGCAGGACGGGCGCCGCTCCGGGCGCACGGAACGCCGTCCTCGGTCTGGATTACGTGGAATGGGGACGCCTTCAGGCGGAAGACGCTTCGCTACTCAAATTGCGGCGTCGTGTGAGGGAAGCTGATGCAGGCGATGATCGACGGGGCATCGCCTCGTTGGTTCTGTGGGGCGGCTTACTCGTGCATTGGGACCGGGGGCTATGCCGTTATACCACAGTTGTCCTCACTGCCCTGCGAGGCGAGGTCATTTGGGCGGTGCACGAGCGTCTCTTGCACCTAGGCGTGCAGAAGACGCTGGCTACGCTCAAACGGGATTTCTATTGACCGGCCAAGTCCGGGGATGTGGACGATTTGATCAAACGATGCGTGCAGTGCACTCGGCGGAAGCCACCATCGAAAACCCTGACGACCCCCCTTGCAATGGATTCAGGTATTGCATTTCAACGAACTTGTTGCTCTGGACATACTTGGCCCGTTTCCCACTACCGCTCGAGGGAACAAATACCTGCTTGTGGGGGTGGAGTATTTTTCTCGATGGCCTGTTGCTTGGCCGCTCCCTAACCAATCGGCTGTGACTATTACGAAGGCATTCCTCAATGGTTATGTTATGGACAAAGGCGCTCCTGAACGCCTTTTGACTGATCAGGGAATAATTATTCTTCTAAATTGTTGCACGAGGTCTGCGCTTTGTTGGGAACAAAGGTGTGCACGTCGCCGTACCACCCACAGACAGATGGTATGGTCAAACGGCTACATAGGACTCTGACCTCCATTTTGAGCCACCAGGTCAATGAGTCACAACTCGATTGTGATTTACATATCCCTGCGGTCCTCGCCACTTACAGGATGGCTCAGCACACGTCCACCGGCTCCTCACCGTTTTTTTATGTATGGAAGGGAATACGACCCCCCCCCCCATCGATATACAGTGACAGGCCACGCCGACAGTGTATAAATCCAAGATTTCTGACTCCATTCGTTTCACTCTTGAGAAGCTTTCCGAGGCACGGGAAGCCTCCAGAGTTAATTCTGAGTGGCGACAATTGGACAATGAACGGCTTAAGGGAGTGCATGCTTCTCTGTATGAATGGACACATGGGGACAAGGCCTGGTTGTACTGTCCCGCAGGTGCTGGTGGGTACGTCGCCTAAGTTACTCCAACCCTGGCCGGGGCCGGTCTATGATGTTTGGGTTGTTCGTCCACAGTGTGTCCAGATCAACTTGGGTCGGCAGAGTTGATTCGTGCATCCCTCTCGCCGAAACAGTTTATCGCGCCGCGCAGGGGCCGAGTGTCAAATGTGTCCGATGAGCCGGGGGTGTATGCCAGCTGAGGTTGGTCCTCAGCGGAGCAATTCTGTTCGCCCCCAGGTGCTGCACAATTTTTGTCCCCTGCACGGCCGCACATGCCGACTTCGCAGGCTTTGAGCACGGAGGATCCGTCGAGCCGGCCTACTGCTCTCCGTGAGGAGCTGGGTTGAGCGAGCCCACCTCTCCTGGGGGCCCAGCATCACGCACTTGCTCAGACTCGTTTTTGTAATCCCCTTGCACACACGCTCCCACACTGTCAGTTGCTTGTCGCGTGGTTATTGGCTGATCCTGGCCGCCATTGAGCTCACGAGCGTTGTTACACGGTGAAGGTGGGAGATGTGATGGTAGGGGGGATCCCGATCGTTTACGTGTTTTTCTATATTGCTTGTTTATGTGGTGTTATTATGGGTTCGTTGGGTTACAGCCTTCTCCCTGTTGGTTTGTACATTTGTGGATAGTGTGATTTTTGTACCAGTGGGTTAAAATATTTATTTTTGTTCTTGTTGAGGTACACTGTGTTTTTTCCTTGCATTTCATGTAATTGTTCGTTTGGAGGGGGGAGTTGACATCCGGGATGGCTGAATGCTATGAAGGGGAGGGGGGGTGATGGAGTGACATCGCAGATGTCACTGTATGGTGCCGGCCCAAAAGGGCCGTGGCGTGCGATGTCCCGACATCGCGTACACCCCGTAGGCGGGTGTAGTACCAGCCCTAGCGGAGCTTGGTGAGCGCTGGGGGAGTGGGAGAGTGTCAGCCCAAGGGCAGGTTTGCCCCGGGCCAAGGCATTCTTGTTGACCCCATAGACACATGATCCGAAGTGTCCACAGAGGGCCCCAGGTGGGGGGGGGGGGGGGGGGGCTAGGGAATGACCACATGTCTGAGGAGAGCTCTCGCTTGAGGTGGGCGGGGCCAAGGGCGGAGCGGCCCCGACCCGGGGAGATATAAGGTGGGTCCCTGGGAGGGACCGGGGTTCTTCGTTCTACAAGCTGGAGGCTCCACATCGACAAGCTGGAAGCTCTACGAGGCATCAACACATGGTCGGGGACCCGAGGGTCTGACCCTTCGTAGCTGTAACTCCTACGTATAGAGTAGTTATCTGGGTGGTCACCACCCCAGGCTGCATGTGGTGAAGGGGCAGTTACCCCTTTGTGTTCACGGGTTGTTACAAAAAAAGTGTTGCATCTGAAGAACATCTGCGACTCAGTTGGACTCACTACACAATTATGCAGCTTCGGTGTCTTGGATTGCATTACCAATTGTGATAATACAATTAAAAAATGTGTAATGTTATAAAAGAAAATTGTGCAAATGTGTATTTATTATACAAATTAGGCTCAGAATTCACATCTCACCGCAAGATACCATTCTCTTAATTAAGACTATGCATGGACTTAGGAAGTAAACCACTCAGACACTTCTGTGTTAAGCAACTTTAATATCTAAAACACTAATATGCGATCGGAATTGTCAACACCATACTCCTGAAGTACTCATTGATCCGTACAATTAACCCTCAATGGTTACGTTTGTTAAAACTGAGTAACGGAACAATCGGCTAACTCCTCAGAGTAGCGAGACTATACACGGCGATAGGAAAAGTCCTTTAAAAATATATATTCATACGTAACATGCTAAAGAAACATGTGCCCAATGGGAAAATTAGACATCAATTAATTCATTGGCAAGATTATGTAATTGACTAAATGTCCCGAAACAATAGTGTGCGTGCTAGTGTGCCTGTTTGGCTAACAGATGCTTATCAATTGGCTAATGGGACATCAATGAATTCGGGGGCAAGATTCTGTGACCAAAAGAAAAATCTCCACTCAATAGTATTCCTGTGAGTGTGTAGATTCGTAACATATATGCTTATGTTTAGTGTCATCAATGCATTCCTTGGTAAGATTATGAAATTAACGAAAATGAATCACTAAAATACTTCAAAATGACCGTATTCATGTAACTCAATGGACAGAACAATGCTCTTCACGATCAACTAATAGCTAACGCACCACCTTGGGATGGCAACCCATTTCAAAACAAGATAACTTTTTGGAACAATATTATTAGTACCAATATGCACGCTATGTGTGTGGGTGTGTATTGTCTTCTTGCTAACTGTTGAGTTAGAGGCTTCCGAGGTGCAGCATTCCTTGTACCGAAAACACCTCAGGTCCAGCAGGGGGTGCTAGGTCGGCGCGTGTGTCGAACACACGGCACTCTCTGCTGGTTCGTCAGTCTCTCTCCACCACTGGGGTGGTTGCCAAGTCGGTACGCTGGTCGCGCTCTCGGCAGTGCCCATTCTGGCAGGCATGATGGGTCCAGCTCTGTCTGCGTCAATGTGCGCGCAGATCCTGTCGTCCAGACACCACTCGCAGCTTGTCCGCTGGTTGTCGTACGTCACCTCCTTTGACACTAGACACTGTTGATCCTTGTAGACTGTGGAGCGACTTGGAGAGACAGCGCTTGTTGTCTCCCACCCCCCCCCCCCTCTTCAAGAGTCCTCTTCCAGTTGTCTGTATGACTCGTGCTGCACAGAAGACAGGCTACAGATCAAGTTGTACTCTTTGGTTCTTTCGGTAAAGTCACGCAGGTATAAAATACTGATTTCTGTTGCTTGGGCTGTTTGTTGTCCGGATGTCTTTATTACCGCCATGTTTCCGTTCACGTTTTGGGCAGCGTTCCCCACGCTCCCATCACGGGTTGGACGTGTTACATTTTCTTCGCCTCCGACTCAAAAAAGGGCGCGGTGGCCTTTGAAGTCGTGACCTATTGTGCACGGCTGTGCCTGCTGTTGCCATATTCTCCGCCCTCTCACCACGGGTTGGAAGTTAACATTTTTTTTATTTTACACCTCTTATAGCTTGGTACCGTACCACTTTCCACAGTTTTGACTCAGCAAGCGAATCAAAGTACGTTTTGAGCAGCGTTCACAGCACTCACGTCGCGGTTTGGAATTATTGCGTGGTATTTGATATATTAGGGGGAGGCGCCACTCTGCATACATACTATACCTATACCATGTGCTGTTAGCTCCTGGAAGACAAAGGCGGTTGGTGAGGCTCTGATCCCGTGGAATACATTATCTTGGTCGTGTGTGATTGACATTTCGCATTCTATCTCTTCTGAATGACCCTAAGTCTAACACTTTCATAATTATTATTGGTTCATGCTTAACCAAGATTTGTGGTATACCATAGTTGTTACCAAGAATATTCCGAGGGTTGTATAATCTTTGTTCCCCATCTGTATCGCCAGGGATCCGTGCCTCTCATTCTCAAGTTATATTTTGATATCCTGAGGTTGAAGATATAGTTAAGCTTCGGACTTTACTGTTGTATTTTGAAAACCTCAATGATTAACTGCCCTTGGGTGGATTTTGCTGTCCAAGGGAGGTTTGTGACCCCTGCTTTTTCCATCTTGTTTGTTTTATTGTGGGTTGTTTCCTTAAGGCGGCCTTCTCTTGAAGTCAACTGGGGATTTCCCCCCAGAATCTCATTAGCCCCTCTCCTTAGGTTTTCTGTTTTTTTTAATTAAATTTTATGACTTCCCAAACAGGCTTGTGAGTAATTATCCTCCAGCTGTCTTTTGTGTGGCAAGGCAGGAGGCAGGGGGAAGACTCTCCCTTTCCATGCCCCAGCCCTACATCCCGATCAAAATTATAAAAAATGTTTTTGCCAGAATCACTCTTAATATAATTTTTTTGGAAAAGGCATATATACAACTTGCTCTTCGAGTGAGAATGTTTTCCCCTTATTATAATATAGTGAACGCTTGGGAGCATATTGGCTCTGGCTCCAGGTTAGAGATTTACCCAACCCACAGGTCCGCAAATACTGGCCGCTCTTACGCTGCAGGTTGAACTTAGGAATGGAGTGTTCAACTTTACATTCTTTTCATTAAAGGCCTGTAACAAAGGTGAATCTAATGGGGCTTCATTGTCTCAATCTTACATATCTACAGGGTCTCCATTTGACTTTGCATTGTCTAAGAAGTCCACCCACACCTCCACTTCCACAAACTGCTGGGAGTTGCCTCGCTCTGCCTCACAGTCAGAATTCTCCTCCTGCTTCACGTTGCCTCCATCGGTGTGAAGGTCCAATTTTGGAGTTGAATCTTCATCTTCACATTTTACAGTCACTTCTTCGCTCTTTACCATCGCTTCTTCACATTTTACCTTGACTTCGTCGCTCTTCACCATCACTTCTCCACATTTCACCTTCACTTCATCGCTCTTCACCATCACTTCTTCGCTCTTCACCATCACTTCGTCACATTTCACCTTTGCCTCTTCAAATTTCACCTTGATACATTTCATAGTGTCCAAGCTGGAATTAACTTCTAGATCTTTTTTCAGGAGGGATGGGCTCATTGCAGCACTTTGACTTTTACAAGCTGATTTCAGACTACACTCCTTGGGGATTTTCTGATGCCTATGTGTTCTCTGGTGTCTATGAAGATGTTGTGACTGTGAAAACGCCTTCCCGCACAGAGTACACTTGAAGGGTTTATCTCCTGTGTGTATTCTCTGGTGAATTTTAAGATTTGATGACTCTGCAAATGCCTTCTCACACACACTGCACTTGAAGGGTTTCTCTCCTGTGTGTGTTTTCTGGTGGCTCTGAAGAACTGATGACCGTGCAAATGCCTTCTCACACACAGTGCACTTGAAGGGTTTCTCTCCTGTATGTTGTCTCTGGTGCTTTTGAAGACTTGATGACCGTGTAAACGCTTTCCCGCACACGGTGCACAGGAAGGGTTTCTCTCCTGTGTGCGTTGTTTGGTGTATTTTAAGATAAAATGAACTTGAAAATGCCTTTCCACACACACTGCACTTGAAGGGTTTCTCTCCTGTGTGTGTTCTCTGGTGTTTTTTCAGATGTGATGACTCTGTAAATGCCTTCTCACACACAGTGCACTTGAAAGGTTTCTCTCCTGTGTGTGTTCTCTGGTGGCCCTGAAGAACTGATGACTGTGCAAATGCCTTCTCACACACAGTGCACTTGAAAGGTTTCTCTCCTGTGTGTGTTCTCTGGTGTTTTTTAAGATTTGATGACTTTGCAAATGCCTTCTCACACACACTGCACTTGAAGGGTTTCTCTCCCGTGTGTGTTCTCTGGTGGCTCTGAAGATCTGATGACTGTGCAAATGCCTTCCCGCACAATGGGCACCTGAAGGGTTTCTCTCCCGTGTGTGTTCTCTGGTGGCTCTGAAGATCTGATGACTGTGCAAACGCATTCCCGCACACACTGCACTTGAAGGGTTTCTCTCCTGTGTGTGTTCTCTGGTGTATTTTAAGATGTGATGAATCTGCAAATGCTTTCGAGCACAAAGTGCACCTGAAGGGTTTATCTCCCGTGTGTGTTCTCTGGTGTATTGTAAGATATGATGACTGTGCAAATGCCTTCTCGCACACAGTGCACTTGAAGGGTTTCTCTCCTGTGTGAGTTCTCTGGTGTCTTTTAAGATTTGATGACCATGCAAATGCCTTCTCACACACAGTGCACTTGAAGGGTTTCTCTCCTGTGTAAGTTTTCGGGTGCTGTGTCAAATTTCCAGTACGATCTGTGCTGTTTGCATACTGGTCGCATTGTTTACTTTTTGTACCGAGCTGCGCTGAGTGACTTTGCTCCATCAGACCAATTCTGCAGAGGAAGCGTCAGCTGCAGATAGAAAAACATATCACACCATCTATGTCAGTATCGAGGCACAGATGAATGAATATATACACAGTCACACATGACTGACATGTCTATACTTATTCATATATTCATGATATCGTAAAAAAGATTCCCCAATTCATCACACGGGCTGTTAAGGCAATGAGAGGGCAAGTGGTCATAAATATGCCTGGATGCTCAAGCACACAATTTCGGCTGTCTAGCTACAAAAGGAATATTTAAGAAAATCTTTGCAGGTAAATTTCAAAAGTATCACTGTCCTGGTCACAAAAGCAAAGTTTGTGGGGAATAATAGCCATTTTCTGTACTTTTGAGGCATAGGCAATTAGGAAATAACACTTACTACCCAGGGACAAAAAAAGGTTGTTACATTGTTATCAATCATGTTTGCTGTCAATGATAATCAAACTAATTGTTGAGTTCATAATGCAGTGAAACAACTGCACTACAGCTCCCAACAAAAATAAACTCTTAAATACATGTACATTTCACATGCATCATTGACATTAGATCAACAAAACATCCACCATTCATGACGAATTGGAAGTAACCTTATCACAATGCTAATGCCATGAAAGGTGCAACTTAAGGCCATGTAAGTGTGGATTCCTTGTCAGCAGATAATGGGAATGATCCAGGTGTCAAGGGATGACTGACAGATGAACCAGCTGTGCTCCCCACTGTCTTGCTGGGTTTTAGGGACCCAGTGTTCCACCTATTCATGTGGGCGTCGCTTGTCCGACCTCATCGTTGTTGCAGAGCGAATACCTGCAACTGCCCTGCAGCATACCTCACGGGCCCTCCTCCAGAGGCCAATATTGACATGACTGATCCCAGTCATCGGCGGTTCCAATCACCTCCACATCCTCCAATCTCTTCTCTCGCCAATGCCATGCCTGTTTAGCCCGTAATATTTGGAAGAACAGAAGCTGCTTGAGCATGCGGTACCTGGGAATGCGGGATTCATGACCGAAACAATGCAGCCTCGCCTGTCAAAGAGACTCATGATTATATTCTATTATTGATATCTTAAGGATCTGCAAGCTTAATACAAAATAGTCTGGTTGAATTAAAGATGAATTATAGGCAGGCCAGCCTTCATTGTATAAGCCAGCACAGATGGTCATTTAAATAAGTTCATATTTTGCATCCAAAGAGTAATATATGTCGCCAAGAAGAATCACAGCTTTGTTCGTTCGTTTCTAAGAACACTTGTCCTGGTGAGGGTCGCGGTAGCAGCACACCGAGTAGGGCGGTCCAAGCCCCCCTTTCCCTGGCGACAGACCCTAGCTCAACCTGGGGAATTCCAAAATGTTCCCAGGCCAGCCGAGCAACATAGTCCCACCAGCGTGTCCTGGGCCAGCCCTGGGGTCTTTGTCCAGTGGGACATGTGTGGTAGAGATCCAAGGGGACTCCATTGGGGGGCATCCTTACATACATTCTATATTGATATCACCTTTCGAGCCAGGTCCAGGGGTTGTGTTCGCCAACAAGCGACTTGTGGCCACGTGACGCATGTTACCCAGTTGGCAATGGACAATCACAGCTTTGTATGGAGGAAAAGTCCAGGCACCATCCACAGTGTTACACAGTCTAATGAAAGAATGCTGCTTGACTAATTTTAAGTGAGACTTTGGCTGCCAAACCAGAGCTGGTCGTGAACACATTAACCAGGTATGGGAGCTCCTCCACCACTTGTAGAACTGCCTTATTATTCATGGAGATTTAAGCAGGTACAGTGTTGTATGACATGAAATTCCCAGGCAGGTGATTTATTTTTGTAGAACATTTGCAAGGCCCCATTTCATGATGGAATTATCAAGTCACAGCACAAAATTCCCGAATTCCATCTCATTAAGTAGCCATTACCAGATCATCAGTAGATGTAACACGGTTGACCAGCAGGGAACGATCCTTTAACTATAACCAGGCATCGATAAGCTTATCACTGGAACCGTAACGAATGCAATTGTTTCATATGACATAGTCATTGAAGATGCTATGCAATGTAAAGCATGGGGCCAGAGTGAATTTCTGTCATAAGCCAAGTTGAACAGGAAATGGCTCGGAATCCTGGTCATGCAGCGCTAGACCGTTCTGCCCAAAATCATACAAATCCTCAAATAATGTAAACAGAGGGATAGATTTGAAAAAAAAATAACAACCCAAAGCCCCAAGCCTCTTTATGGTACTTTCAGCCTTAATTAAATCAAGAATGCAGAGATCTAGTTTCTGTTGAAAATCAGTAAGCCTCTGCTGTAGTCAATAGACAGAAAATACAGCAGACCCTTGCATATAGCGGAGGTTACGTTCTTGGAAATTGCCACGCGAAAGCTAAAAGCGTGATATTTAATAATTAAGCCTTACCTGAGTAATGACGTTAGGTAAACGTCAACTAAAATTTACATCACAATTTAAATAAGTACTGTACTGTATTCCACATAAACTAAACAATTGAAATAAACATGGAGAAACCGTATACAAAAAATATTAAAAGACAAAAAATAGTAAAAATCTATGAAGATAAAGCTGACTTTGGGCTTGTGTACATTTTTTTGTGAACCAAATTGCGCCAACACACCCCAAACTTTCCATGTGTACTCACGGGTGAGTTCGGGTGTCTTTCGCACTATTTTTAGCTTACCTGCTCACCTTTCACACCTGTACCACCTGCAGACCCCCCCCGCTCCTCACCTCCCCCCTCTCTCTGTCTCTTGCCATGTGTTCAAGCCCGTGGCATTTTTACTACTTCCGGTTTGCCACACATGCAAACACATGACATTTCATATACTACAATTCCACGTACTCACCATAACATTAGTGTCTCCACTGCACTGCTATATTTGTTCTCATATTTACCATGTTATCCTTCCCTATTATCAGCCCTGCGTTTTTGCCGCCAAATTCATCTACTTCCGGCTCCTTAATGTCCTCTCTGCACGTGCACGGTTCACCTCTAACACACACTGCAATATTTTTTTTTTAAACATGTACTATTCTAAAATATTAACATCTACGTACCAACACTACCGACCTCCTTTTACACAACAGAGATGCGACACAACAGCTACGACTAAATACATCAAGTCTACATCGCCAAGTAAAAAATAAAAAGCATGCACACACACACTCTGGTAAAAATTATGATATATGTACACACACCACCACACACATACTATTAATACCCACATCAAGCACTAAAAATAATTATTTCGTTCCTTTGCGGCTATGTCTTCACATTCCTACAACGATTACACATTCAACTATCATTTCCTTAACTCTATATAACATTCACTTACAAACTCACTATTTATTCTTTTTAATGCTTATTTTCAGTTTCATTTTCAGTTTAATTTATTAGGTACTAGCGGTAAGTACCCGGCGTTGCCCGGGCGAAAAAGGCAGACACACACATGGAGAGCCGAAAATAACAGCTAACATCAGAAGGTGGTACAATGGGAACATCACTTAAACTGGTTGATAACGTCCTTCCAATGATTGTTAAGTTTGTACTCATCTTCTTAGTTGAAATTGTCTGTCTGTAGAAATGGATGGCTTCATGAATGAATCTTTGTTGATAGCCAGTGGGTTTGCAAAGTACTTTCGTCTTAGAGAAATCAATTTCGTGTGAGCCTACCGCATTAAAACAATTATCAGCCACGGCCGAGGAATTGGTCCTATCCTGTTTCAGATCTGCCTTATGTCTACGAACACAGTCCAGGACATGTCACTTAGTTTCCCCAAAGTAACTACTGCCACAGACACAGCTTAGTTTGTAGGCGCCGGGGTACATGTCAGGAATCACACCCCAAAGAATATTAATTCCTGCAGTCACGAAAGCTTTAAGTAAAGATTTAACTGAACAATGGTTCAGCTGCCTACAATCGATGACCATCCTGAGCCTATTCATGTATTGATACCTGCCAACACTACCTATGCAAGCCAATTCCAAAACAACAATAGAATATAAAACTCATGCTTCAAAATTACATGTTTTGGCAAAAACCAACTCATCCTGACATCTGGCTACTTGCCCACATTTAAAGTGCAGGGCCAGGTACATAATCGCATTGGCAGTCTGCTGCCACTACCTAATGACCTACCTACATTACCACAGATCTACTTGCATGTCTGAATAATACTAGACAGGCTCACCAGCATTGCAAAAATGTCATCAACATCAAGATGCAAGTCGTATTGCTGTGGCAAGACATGCTCGATAAGGAAAACTCATAAGTTCACAGTTTCACTAATGCCACGGAGAAGATGACTTCAGAGTACAATGTTGTCATTCATGCCGACTAAACTCCACATTGTCAACATGAGTGCTGCTTAAATGCACTCACAACATTTGAAGTCGCTGGCATTCTGACAGCTGAACAACATGTCACTCGAGGCATCGTCTTGCAACAGAAATTAAACACACCGATCCTAGGATGCTTTTCAATGTCTACTGATTTTCTGGCAAGGTGATGATGGCTACAATTTCCTACTTCGCCAAACTGACCGAGCAACAGGCTTGCCAACACAAAAGAAGATTTCCACCATGGACTTCTTTGTCATTAGGATCATGGTGCAAAAAGGCAGATTCAATCTCTTTTTGAGATGCAAAGAGCTCTTCCGCCAATTTGCTGTCGCCATGTATGCCAAAATTGAGCTTCATTCGATTAATTAGTTTAACACGTAGGCTTTCGCGACCAATATTATTCATAATCAACGTTTTTGGGTTTAGATCGGGTTATTTATGTGTCGTAACCCTCCACCACCGACACAGCCAATCAGTAAAAAAGTGTCACGTTGACAAAAGACAAATAGTTCACTGCTTTAGCCCACCGGTGTGTTGAAGCGTAAAACCACAACATTTAAATTTTTTGAGTACGACGTTTCGC